GTGGTAAAGTCGAGGATTTTTTTAAAAAAATAAAAAAGTTTACTATAAACCAGAAAATGAGATTGTATTTTTTTTATTTTTTATGCTTTCTAACATTTTGGTAAAGATTGGAAAGTGTTTTGGCTATGACTACTTGTTTTTACATCTTTTTTTTTTTTGGATTATTTCTAAAATACTTCTAGTCACAAATTGATTTTTCAAAATTGATTTTTTCACTACTTTTTTTTACCTCATTTAGTTTAAGCATAATTTTAATATTTTTTGGGATGTTTTTGTTTTTATTTTATTTGTTTAACAATTTTTTGGTCTTGCCGGGACATGCCTGACCCGGTCTAAGTCACCCGGACCTGTCTAGGGCCGGGTTCTATTCCCGGGTTGTGTTTTCCTACACTGGTGGCACACTTGAATATGGGAGTTATGGGCTTACGCTAAAACCCAAGCCTTTCTCTTACCATGTATCAGTTACGAGTATCGTATATTCGTTACAGTCATAACAAAAAACCGAGTTGGACTTAGTCAATATCATAATATTTTTGACAAAATTTTTCTATAGGACTTATTCAATAGCATTATATTTTAGACAAAATTATTCTCTAGGACTTATTCTATAGCATAATCTTTTTGACAAAATTATTCTATAGGACTTATTCTATAGCATAATCTTTTTGACAAAATTATTCTAAAGGATAGGCTTATTGGATACTTTGTTAAAACGTCTAGTTGTACACATGCTCATTTCTTATTTGTGATTAAAAAGAAAAAATTAATTAATTTTTTTTTTAAAGAAAGGTCATTGAATAAGTTTACTTTTTGGTGGATTTAGGTTGACTATTTGGTGGTGCGGTGGATCTAACTCAAATTTTATTTACTTTACAAATATTATGGGACCGTTAGACTTTCAAAATCTTCGTGGTTCTGATAAATGAATGCTTCAAATTTACAAAAAAAGGATTATCATCATCATTTGAACTTTATTTCGATTATGGTCATTCTCAAATTGGGCATACTGATCCCAAGTCTAGAGAAAAGATAAGAGTGTCTAGAGAAAAGATAAGAGTTGTGTTAGATGCCGCATCTATTCCATGAATCCACATCCAATTTTATGAAGTTTAAAATTAAATAAATAAAAAATAAAAAATAAAAAATAAAAAGCTCAATCCCCTCCTTCCCACTCTCTCTAAAAAGTCCTATCCATTGAAGGCTAAGGATAAAGATGTGTGTGGAAATGTAGATACTTCCAAAGAAAGGTAAATGTGTTTCATTTGTTTTTTGCTTTTTGCTTTTTGTATGCAAGCGATGACAAGCATGAGTAATTGCTGAGGTGGAACAATAATGTTGTCTTTTTTAAATTGGAGAGGCCACGTGGTCCATTATAGAAAAATATTATTGTGTTTATTACGTGGCAATTTTAATTTTCTGAAAAAAGGAAATTAAGAAATAAGATGGAGACCCATTCACGCAATCCAAAGAAAATGTATGTAATGAAACTATTTACTTTTTAATACAAAGATATCATAATAACTAACCGAGATTGAATAGTTGAAAATGTATCATTTGTTTAGACACGAATCCCAAAATAAAATTATTCGAATTTTATGCATATTTTTATGTGTTTGAATTTTCACTCAATGATTAAAAGTGATTGTGATTTTTTTATATTAAAAATTAATGGTCTTATAGTATATTGTCCTAAGTCTTATAGGGTTATTTTTTTTGGTCATTTGATTCTCAAAGATATGTAGAGAGAAAAAAATACTGGAAAGCCAATGAGAGAGATGCAAGTAGTTTCTTATTCATGCATTAGAGAGAGAACAATGAACTGAAGAGAGAGGCAAGCATAGTTTCTTATCATGCATTAGAGAGATGTAGACATTGTTATCCGCCATTAGACTTGGCAAAACTGAGTGGGAGATGGCTTTATTTAAAACATAGTAAAATATTGTCAAATTCTCGAAAATGAGAGAGAGAGAGGAAGGAGACAATAAATAATTTAAGACATAATTAAAAGAGTTAAATTCTAGAAAAAAAGAATCCCATATAGAGGGGAAGAAAGGGAGGATCCGTGGCACAATGGCAGCACGTCTAACTCCATATCATAAGGTTGTGCGTTCAATTAATTGTATGGTTCAATACCCAAATTCTTTTCTCAAATTCTCTATGAGGAAGTTGAGATGGATGAGTGGTAAAATAAGAATGGATAAAATTCAAAATGAATACATTAAGGAGAACTTAAATGTAACTCCAATAGGAGATAAATTGAGAGAAAGTAGACTTAGGCGGACTGACTGTGTACAATGATGGTCAGGAGATAAATTGAAAAAAGATAGATTTAGGTGTATTGATTATGTACAGTGTAAACCCAACATAACACCAGTTAGGAGGTGCAAGTTGGTTTAAATAGAAGGCTAAAAAAAAAAAGGTGCCCACGCAAATATATTTGTAAGTAATGAGAAAAAATAGATTTATAGCTTCACTATGTTTGTAAGTAGTGAGAAAAGATAGATTTATGGTTTCATTGGAGGTAATTTTTTATAGAGTAGAATAGCAAAACAAGAATTATATAAATCGATTTCAAATACTTGGGAATGGCGGAACAAGAATTATAACTATTTCTTAGTGATGAGGGAACTAGAGAGTGGGAGTAGAAAGGAAGGAGAATCTTCTTCAGCTATTATTAGTGAGAGAGAGAGAAAGGAGCTTATCTCACAGTTTCTTAGTGTAAATGTGAACCTTTTGTGGGCCAGAGGAACACTATTTTAGTATGTAAGTCATTATTTTTTGGAATTCCCACTACTTTAATACTATCCTTCTATTATTTTTCGCAATTCCCACTTCCCATCAAATAGGAAGGGAATGAACTACTACCGAAAGTTCAAGAGCACTAAATTTTTATTTTCTATGTAAGTAGGATACTGTAGCCATGTTCCCAGTTCTCTCTCTATTGGTTTTTTTTGTTTTTTTTAATAATATTGTGAATATATATTTTTTTGAATATTCTCTCTCAACATATTTGCTTTCTAAAATTTTTATCTTTATATTTTTCTTTTATAAATTCATCAATTTTTGTGATATATATTGTTGCTTATGAGATTCTTAATTTATACTTGTAAATTCAAATAAATATGTTTTGTATAGCAAAGGTACTTGAAGATTCTAGAGCATTGAAAGATCATATAAAGTGATCATGTAAGCTAACAAACCAAAGATTAACGTTCTTTCCCGAGAAGAGAGAAAAAAATCAAAGATCACATTCCCAACAAGAAGTGAGTTCCAGGAATTACTATAATTGGAAATGGATATTTCCCATTTAAAATGCCAACAAGTTCAACTCAATTTGATAGTTTTAAATGGCAAAGAATGCTATCTTTTTTGCAATAGAATTGTATAAAAAAAAAACTTTTTATACAAAGAGGTCACAATTAATCCCGTGAAAATTTGATAGTTTGAATGTGTCACCAAATTCAAATTTTTTTTTTTTTAAGTTTGAGCTAGCTCAGCGGAATAAATATAACCATCCGTTTCACATTCAATGCTCAACATTAATTGTAATCACCTTGTACTGTAGATAAATGATCTCATTATTTACTTTTCTTATTATCATTTAAAAGAAATACTTGCGGGAAAAAAAAATTGTTTTAGTGTTGAAAAATAAAAAAAATATTTTATTCTATATTTCCCTTTATTTAACAATCCATTTTGAATGGATGGTTGAGATGACCTCAATTACAATGTCACGTCTCTACACTATTCTTTTTATACAAATTATTTTGACACCAAATTTTGGATGTCCACTTCACTCGTAAACTCGCACCCGTAAAAAATAAAAAGAAAATATTTTTGATGAAACAAAATAATTAAAATATCCTTTAAAATTTCAAACGTATTTTGATAATTGTATGTTATCAAAGATATTTGTTTAATAAAAAGTATGCCCTTATATATATTTCTAATGATTTTTGTTCTACCTGAGGGAGTGACTTTTGATATACAATTCCAAACCATATAAGAAAACCATACAAGAGAGTTCTGATTATAAACAAGGCCACAAAAGAAATTACTAGAAACATAAGGCTGATTTGTTGGTGTATTCATTTTTTTTTTTTTATTTACACTTTTTACAATTATTTCGTTTTATTTACACTTTTTTTGGCTTTGTCATTTTCAATTTTATCAGATAATATAAGATGAACATTCATTTTTCATAGTACGTGTAAAATAAATTTTTTTTTTAATTTTAAATTTTTTAATTCCCCTAAACCGAGCTTTATTTCCTGCCTCACCGCCTTTATCCCCTCGTTATGCTTCTTCCTTGAAAGCCTCAACTATTTTATAGAGAGAGAGAGAGAGAGGAGCCTGGCGGTAGAGAGAGAAAAAGAGGAGGAGAGTTTGGTTCTGAAAATCTGAAGCAAGTCATGTGACTCTTGTCTCAGAGAGGTGGAGTTTCTCTGTAATCTAGAGAGAGAGATATCTTGGTTTTAAATATCTGAAGAGAGAGAGGGAGAGCTCGGCTCTCAGCAGCTGATATGAGTTTCCCTTAAACACAGAGAGAGTTCATTCTGAAACCTAGAGAGAGAGAGAGTGAGAGGAGCTTGATTGTGAAGATCTAGAGAGAGAGAGAGAGAGAGAGAGAGAGAGAGAGAGAGAAGGAGAGTCTGTCTCTAGACAGCTGATATGTTAGTTTTCTAGAGAGAGAGTCTCTATCTACGAACTAGAGAGAGAGAGAGGAGAGTCGT